CCGTTTGTTTTATATCTGTTTCTTTAAAACCAAACAGAGACTTAATCTACCTTTCTTGAAAAGTAGAAGAGAGTTTCACACAACCATACCATTTTACTTTGAGCAGCATTCTCGCACTCCTCAGTGTCGCAGGAAGTCTCAACGTCCTTTTCTTCATCAGCGTGCTCGGTAACCAACGGAGCACTGTGATGAAAAGGAAGGACGTTGAGGATTCTACATCCAATCTCTACCAAGCAAATGGAGGGGTTTTTTATCTCCTAATTGAAAGGTAGAAAAGTATCAAAAAGTGATAATACCTCTTTCCTCTCATTTGTATCCAGGCATCCCTCAAGGTTACACTGGCCACTCGTATTTTCCGTTTCCTCATGAGCGCGCTCGACTGATTGAACTCGCTCAGTCGTCTCTCTGTTGCTTTCCACGTCTTTGTCAGTATCCCTTTTTTCGGGATCATGCACCTTAACCACCTGTGTGGGACGTGGAAACAAACATGTCTTAGTGATTTGTCTGATACCAAACAGCGGGATGAAAAAAACTGAAAATCTTGTTCATTCCAGGTGTCGGGGGTCATGATTGACCATACTGACTTGAAACCTGTGATTAACCTGCACACCACAACCGTTTTCAACGGTTTTAGTTCAAAGACTAGGATCAAAGTAGGAGTATAATGTTCTCTAATAAATTGATATCTGACAATTCTGTATACAATAATGCCTTTGACTGACTGGCGAAATATTTCTAACGAGATTGAAAAGTGTCAGAACATTCAGGAGCCACAAATTGGGTTGTAGTCTCAGCATAAGACTTTGATCATGTTGATCTGCTCTAAATATTTTGTGTCAGCTGGAGAACTTAAAGCGCGCACAAACACTGATGGTCTTATTTGTTTTTTATCTGCCAAATTACACCATTTTAAAGGTGGAGATTTGTAGTTACTGCGTAGTTTCTTTTATAACCATGATGCCTCAAATATTATTTGTTAAACGATGGTGAATACTGTTTCCGATCCTATAGGCGATCCGTTGACTCGTACTACGCCAGGTGACTTCCACAGAGAGTACTCTGTCCCATTCCGAGAATTCAAACCAGACCGGTACGATTGGAGGAATTTTCAGTTAAATGTCGAAGGTAATGCGACCGATTACTTTGGCCTGAATTTACTGCGCTATGTGCTTTTTCAAGAAAAACTTGCGCCACTTTTTTAACTAGTCAGATTCAAAACTTAAAGCAGTCGTTTTCCCATGAAAGCCAAAAAAAAGGCGTTTTCGGCGGCTACCGCAATGCTAAGGTAGACAGCGATTTTGGTGTGCTTTTTCGCTCTTCGAAAGCTCTGATAATGCTAAATTAGGATGTACCTTTTCAACTCCGTCACTTGATTGAACATTTTCCACGTTTTTTTCCCCTAATAAATATCTTATGATGTCATTACCAACGAAAAAAGCCTGCCACACAGTGACAAAGGCCATGGTCGAAGATAATGAGAAAGGTTTGAATGAGTCAGTGTTAATTGACGTCACAGAGGCTAATCAGATAAACGCAAATAATTGAAGTCGCGCGCGCGGTTTTCTTATCGTTAATCAGTGAAATTGGTTGACATTTTGTTACCAAAACTGTTACGGACGCTCTACCGAGCCAACTTAAACAAAATTAACCAATAACATGGAGATAAATGATGACTCTAACTTCAGTCTATTTTACGCGCCACTCAATAAGCGGTCAAGGATCAAATCCCCAAATTAACTTCCCAAATGTACTAAAATAAAACTCTGTAAACGTTCACATCTCTATGAAGCGGTCTTGGTCATGCTTTGGGCTTCCTGAGCATCTAATTCTTTTGTTTTGCGCATATATCAAACGGTTACTTCGTGAAATTACAAGTTAAAATCATGTTCATTTGAACTAAAACCTGCACCTTTGTCAGAGTATGCTGTGTCAAAATTGGAGCTAAAAAGTAAAGAATTGATCCAGATTATAAAAATCACACTTTATCTTAACTACATTTGCGCAAATGCCAAACCTCAGGTGTGGAGGGTTCTGCTTCGCGTTATTCTTACGTTCAGGAGAAGGACGGACCTTTAGGTAATTATTCGCCAGCCCTTAAGGTTTAGAGGCATACTTCAAGTTTAAGGAGACATGCAAAAAAGTTATAGGATGATGCCCATTTTTACTCGCCTGTTCATTTATGTCTATTTTACAAAAGAGCATTGAGATTTGTCTTCTCCAGAAGTCGAGTTGAAATCTCACACAAATATCGTTCTCAATCAAATAAACCGAGTGATAGAACTACAATTCGGGGTCTGGTACTACGTTCACGCGCCAAGTGAACCGCCCACATAAAGTTGTCAGCTTGCTAGTAAAGAATGGGGTATCAATTTATATGGTTGATTTTATTCGCTAAGTCGTGCTAACGATCTGCCAAATTCAGAACTTTTCCATATCATAACCGTAGAGAATACTTAAATGTTTATAGCGAGATAGCCTGGGTGCATACTAACAGTATATAATTTATATCTCAATGATTTATCTGTAGAGGCACAACACTGATAATGTTAAATTATCTTTTATTAACATCTAAAAGGCCAAATTTAGCTTGCATGCAAATTCATCTAAAAGTGATCTTACTTAAAATCACTTGGCATGCCCCAAATATCAGTAGGAAGATAGTGCAGTAAATACTTTAAACCCAGGGGTTGGCAGTTGATCATATGGTCAAACTGTTTGCATGATAGTCTCCTAAAAAAGGTCTGTTGTCAGTGAAAGTTCCTGACATTTGGACAACCTGAACAGAAGTAAGTTAAGTGACCCTACTGATGACTTCCTTTCAGGTTGTCAGAGTCTCAGTGACCGCCACTGACAACAATCCCTTTCAGGACAACTCTCATATGGACAGTTTGATCGACTACAAAGATAGTGTGGAATCCACCACTGAAAAATGCAACCTATGCCTTTCTGCATGAAGCTATAAATGTAAGTCATCTAAGATTTTTTATACCAGAATCCCTCATATTATCATGAAATGTTAAAAAATTAGATTTATATAAAAAAAAAAAGAATTTCTGTCTTAATTTTTCTTTGAATGCCATTTAAACAGGCAATACAAAACCTCTTGATGAGATCAAAAAGTTTCCAAGGGCTTTTTGTAGACCAAAATGAGACTGTCTTGTGCAAATTCCCTTAAATGCCAAGTGGGACCCCTCCTCTGAAAGCTCCAGGCTGTGCTGATGGGAAGACTTGCTCTAGCCAGCCACTGTTAGGAATCAAGTTTATGTACCTTCTTTGGGTAGGGAACAAAAAGTAGACTCCAAAGAGTGACAGAAATTGGGCCTAGCTCCTAAGCTATGAGTAAATAAATGCCATCCAGTTTCAATTTAAAACAAACTCCAATATGGAAACTAAAAAAAGTTCTCAACTCTTAAATTACCATACTTAAACTATTTCCTGTAACCTATCATTTACCACAGAAGGCAATTTCAAATTACTCCTGAAGACATGATTAACATTCTATATTTTTCAAAACTTCTATTTTTTATTTATGATACTTCAATGAGTAGTTGACGATTGACTCTTGAAATGTTAGAAATTTTATAATTTCTATGACTCTTTTCTAGCAACTTCAATGTGAAGATTCATTTTTTGACGAATTCGCGTCAACCTCTTCTCATTGTATTTATTATCAGAAAAAGGGACAAAGAAAAAGATCTGAAAAACAAAGGCACATAGAAAATATCAGTAAATTTGTTGACTCAATGTGGAGTTTAAAAAGGCAAATACTTACAGATTCTAAACAATTTTTGTTCATTATGTAAAGGATAATGTAAAGGGATGAGTGGAAAAAGCCCCATGTGACCACTGGTGAAATGCCAGATTCTCCTTCCATATTGCCTTGTCTTTCCTTGACAATCAAAAAGAGAATTTGATGTTGGAGCAAAGGTCACTTGAGGCTTTTTTCCCCTTCAAATTCAAGATGATGTCTAGATCCAACATCTCATGAAAGCAGACTCCAAACTCTTTAAACTCCTTGGGTTAAGATATCAGTGGGGTATGCAGGGGAAAGGAGGGGGGGATGTTGAAGCTTCAAATTGATCTGCACATTTAGAGCTTTTTCCTACCATGTTTAGAAGAAAGGCAAATGGAATCATCAAAGGAAGAAATCCTGTTGAAAATGACTTTGCCTTTGGAAAAAAATATCACAGTAAAGGTTATTTCTTCAGTGTCATAAATAAATAAAAAATATTTCAAGCTAGAGGAAATTTTTTAACTTAATGGAGATGCCTTGTGGAGGAGCATGTTTGTGGTGGATACTCAGACCCTTAATGTGTTACATGCAGGAGAACTGTTGACAATTCTATTTGTGAGTTTATCAACAGTACTGGAGGGTAAGCAAGCCATCGAAAGGAGCCTTCATGTGTATGAGCTGTGCAACATTGCTTCTGCCAGTTAAATTATATTTATTTAAAATTTTCAGTATTTTAGTTATCAAAAACATTTAGAGACCCTATGATAGAGGGCTTTTCACTTCACAATTTTACAATTAATAATAACCAACTTTCTTTACTTACCTTCGCAAGAGTTCCTCTCTCCTGCCCTGGTTGAAATTCTATTTCCACAATGTCCAGCCACTCAGCTTCAGTATAAGAAAATATTTGCACAAAATGTCTTTCATGATGAATCTACAGAAGACAAGTAGTTTAAATAAATGTCCCTAAGGCAAGCTTACTACTATCTCAAAACAAGTTGAAGTGTGCTATATGCACCTTAAACTAAGTTTTAAAGGATTATGAGGTACCCTTGCATCTTTAACCTGAGAATCTTGGTTATTTTCTCTAGCCTTGGTTAACTTTGAGTTCTCTGGGATCTTATCTCCTCAAAGCCCCAATGGTTGGTCAACCAATTCCCTAAAAACTTTTAACATGCCTCTGTTTTTCTTCCAGTGTCTCCATACAACCAGTAGAATGTCTGGGTGTCAGCAAAGTGTCCCAAAAACCTGACTAAAAAACTGAGGGGAAAGGGGAGGGGGATAACCTTTGAAATATCAGCAACACATCCAGGTGAAGAAGCACAATTCCTTGTCACTTTGTGGAATGAAAACTGGGATAGGTTGCATGCAGTGGAGTGGGTCTCCTGCTTGGCTCATTGGTCGCCTAAATGCAATTGACCACTCTTATATTGCATGAAACCAGAAGTATCTCAAATTTCACCATTTTTAACTTTTTTCGGACACATCTTTCAAATTTTTGTGAGAGTCCTAAAAGTTTCATGTCAAAATGGTTTGTTGCATTTAAAGGTCTACTAAAGTACTGAAGTCTGCTCTTCACTCACCTTATTTATATGCATCTTCTCAGCTTCACTAAGTAAGGATATGGCTGATACCAAATGTTCTAAGCACACTTCTGGAGTTGCTTCTGGTATTATCCACCTTAATGTTTTAATAAAAACATATCAACATATAATTTTAAAGTCAAATAAAGTATTTTTAATTTGGCTGGTCAAAAAAATTCAGGCAATTATCTGATATGAAAACCATACAACTTTCATAACAGTCTACCTTTGGAACAATTACCTGTAAACAGCAACCCCCTCACAGCTTTAGCTCTCAAGATCTTACTCTCTGCATTGTCTACCTCATGGCTCAACTTAATAAATTCACTAGTAACTCTATGAGGTATATTCCCCAGGGTCTCCTTGTGATGTCTTTAACTACTAAGACCTGACTTTTAATTCTCCCCTCTAGAAACTATGCATTTCCCTATAAATTCAGTGGGAGAATATGGTGTTTGATCAAGATAACAACATCCACCTAATAAAATCGAATATTCTCATTACCTATTTGCTGGATAATGATTGATATTATAAGGAGAAATTACATGTTAACCACATCTGGGAGTTAAAGGGTTAAGTGCTTTATACTTAGCTTCAAAACACTCAAATTTGACTCTAAAAGATGTTTGAAAACCTTTAAATTTAGCTCAGTCTCTACAATTAGATTATCATTAGTTTCCAAAGAGTGTATAATACATTTTTCTCTGCATTGAACTAACAAATCTGCTCTGTGAGAAATAATCAATATTTATATGCATTTCATATGACCCTTAAATAATTCAATGTTTTATAATTTCACAGTCCAAATTTCACCTGTCATTCAAGTCTAAGCAGAAACCCAAAGAGACTAAATTATTAAGAAATATAGTGTTGCAAACAAGAAAGAAAATAAAAAAGCCATTAAATCTCTTGAAAGTACATTTAAACATTTAGCTTATGCATATAAATTACTCTTAGTTAATGGACAAATTCTGATAACTGTCTTTTGGATTTGTATCAGAACTCGCGGGGCTCCTTAGATGACCATGATTAGAAAAATATCAATATTGGCAATAATTCAAACGTAAAGTGCGAAATACTAATAAATCATTCACTTTCTCGTACGTTGAAGGGTTGCACGACCTAATAACATCATGCTGATTTCAATAAAAATATGATATATTTTGTTGTTTCTAAATACCAAACAGCTGGGCGTTTTGAATAGGACTTAACATGATCAGTTTCAAGACCCCACGCCAACGCAGTTAATCCAAAATATATCATCTCTAAAATCAAGAGATAATAATGGAGTGATCCTGTTTGGATTAAGTTTTTAAGGAAAATTTAAAGCATACCGAACGGATTCGCTGGTTATGGCATTTAAAATAAATGCAGTGTATATCATACAAGTAACAAGGAAAACGATTAAAGAAACTTACGTCTCTTTACAACTATGGAGATTTCTAACACCAGGCAACCATACAGCGGGTCTCAGTACGCCCTGAATTGGCGACTGCCACATGGCACAACAACAATCAGCTGAAGACATTTGATTACAGCAGTAGTGCTTCCTTCACCTTCTAATTCGATTCTCGGATGGCAACAGCGCGCCTACAAGTGGGAGTTGACAATTAACGGGACGGTTGACCGAAAATCGACCGAATATTCTCCGAAAATTACACGATCTTTCGTGAACCAAGTGGCGTGTCAGGACAAAATATGATATTTAAGGCCGAACCGGATAAAAGACTACCGGTAGTGATAAATGAAGTGTGATAAATCAACTTTACCTGCAAATGCAAATTTCGGTGACTTGTGTGCAAATATATCCCAGGCGTTCATAACAATCGGCGTAGCGGGTGGCATGGTAATTAGTCAATTTTCGTTGTCATAGATACAGTCAACTGTTCTTTTTTCCGCCATGTTTGAAGTCATAACATTCGCAAACGAATCGAAGAAACTCTGAATAAGAACCTGACTTGGAGATCCAATTAGAATCCACTTACCGTGTTGTTAGAAATGGCTGCAGCAGTAGCACTATCAAAAGAGCCTCCTAACGCTACGGAGATCGAATTTGAATTAGACGATTTTGGAAAGGATGACCTCGAAGAATATGACTCTCGAAGATCAGAGAGCATGTCGTCTGAAAGACCGAGAGCATTGTCTGTTTCTGATGTTTTGAGTCAGCATATTATGGAAAGGGATGGCATGGCTTCTCCGATTATCAGGGCTTTTACACGGAGTGCAATTAACCGGTGGAGAGGTAACGCGGAAAAGAAGATAACACGAAGATTGATGGAGGTGAAAGCTGAGCGTAAGAAGCGAGATGCAGAAAGTAAAGAGCTTACCCGGCTTGTGGCTAGAACAGTTCCTTTGGATGTTTTGGCCAGAGACTGGCTTAATGACAACGAAATTAGTTCGGATGTGAGAGTGTATTTGGTGGAAAACCTCATGCCAACGTTGATTTTAGGAGTGGAGAAACTGTTGAACGAGGTGGAAAAGAGAGATTTGGCAGATTCTGAGGGGTTCTGTCCAGACTTCAATCCCATAGATTATTTAGCTCAGTTTCTTATGAGAAATAATCCCAGATACAGTAACTTTGCTGAAGCCTCTCCCTACGCAAAGGGCCTGCGCAAAGTAGTGGAAGACCTCAAGAAGGAGGTTTTTTCTATGGAAAATAACAAACTTGCTAAACTCAAGGCTGATGCCAAGAAGAGGCGCGAAGCAAGAGAAAAAGAGGAGAATGAAAGGAACAGGGAAAAGCGACGGCGTTCTATAGCATTAGAGGAGCAATTTCCTGAGTGGACGGCTGATTGGAATGGGGTTCTACCACTGTCAGTGGTAAGTTTTTTCATCAGCCCTTTCACTCCCAAGATATCACTATTTGTTCTCCTTACTATCTGCCATATCATTCTCACTTTGTTTGTTCAGAGAATTTGGCAGTGGATCAACTGATCATGCCCTCATTGATATTTTCCTTTATTCTCATCCCTTGTCTGCTTTATATTGTATTGATATTATAAGGAGAAATTCAGTCTTGGTCAATTGTGGGAGCTAAAGGGTTAACAGTTTTTCAAATCAAGTTTGGAATTCCCCACCTATAATTCTTGGATCTTCCCTTGAGTAATGCTTTCATGCCACATGAAAATTTCCCTTACACTGTTAATAAATAACCTAGCCAACAGGTGGTGGGATGAGACACTGAACTATGTTTCCCTGATCTACATGTTGGGTCAAATTCTCTCAAATCATTTTACAGGACAATAAGGCTGAAGTTGACCATTCTGTGATAGAGACCATGATCTAGTTAGCATGATAAAAAGTTATTTATGTTTTAAAAGCAACAAGGTTTGTATCATAACAAGGTCACCTCAGTCCTGTTCAAAGGCTTGGCAATCAAGCATGCAACTGTAAAATGGACTATTAAAAATCAGATCTTGGGAATATTAATTATGTGTACATACATTTATTAGCTGAAGTTTATTGTTAATTTGGACAGGAGGGACCATTTTTGTGACCTAGGACTCGGTGAAAATGGTTGTAGGTTAAGTCCATTGCTTAATTCAAGATTGCCACAAATGCCCTAACTTGCAATGATGTATTGATTCCCATTGCTTCTTAAAGAGGAGCTTTGTTTTTAAGTGGGAGAACCTGGGGGGAGGAGGGAGGGGAGAGGGGCTCATTGAAACCTTATTGATAAGGGCCAAAATGTCATCCAGTCTTTAATGAATAACTTGTAAATTAAAGAATGTTTTTTGATTTGAAATCCTGTCAAGCTAAAAAGAGGAACAAAGATAGCTTATCCAAAACTAAGATGTACATGTAAGATGAATAACAATGTTAAGAGTTTTTGTTAAATGGGAGGAGGAGGTGCAGGCTGATTGCCTTTACAAAATTAAAGCTCTGAATAAGAGACTTCCTAGAAAGGCATTATAGGCTTATTAGAGTGTTTATGATCCACTGATACATGTCAATATCACTGTAGTTTTTATCTGCTTTGAACTTCTGCTAAATCTTTGAGATCTACATGTAAATGAATCAATTAACAATCTTTCTTAAATTTCAGGTTCAAAATGTGCTGAAATCTTTTGAAGAAGTAGCCACAAATCTTCCAGATGAAATCAGGAAAGGTAATATTCTGAAATATCATCTCTGTGATGATTTGAAAGTCATCTCATTTCTCTTTTATTCTGAAAATCATGAAATTCAATGTGGTTGTTTATTTACACTCTTGCAGGTGCAGCCTTTCTTATTCCTCTTGAAACAACAGATTCCACTGACAAGATGGTGAATCTTCAGCAATTTAAAGAAGTAAGTTTTGTTTTATTTGCATTATACACTTTCATAATATGATTAAGATCAATAAGATATGCATTTTTACTTTGCAATTGTCATTCTCAGCTACACTCAAAAGGTTATTTCTAATTCATTTTTGTTTAATTGCTTTCCACCACTGCTGCAAAATTCTACAAAATAAAGAGACATTTTCCATATATTTTTGCTCAACTTTTCTTTTGTATTTTTCAACTGTTGCTGCAACTGAATAAAGAGGATAAGTTTTTAAAGAAACTGTGATGCTCAGTTGGTGTATTACAGGGTAATTTTAAGTGTTATCAAATGAGTTGATAATGTAAATTGGCCTCTGTAAAGAGTTTAAAAGCTGACATTTTGAGTGTTAGCCCTTCATCAGAGTGATAGATAGCAACTGAATTGCTCTGACAAAGGGCTAACTCTCGAAATGTCAGCTTTTAAACTCTTTATGGTGGCCAACTTACGTTATCAACTCATTTGATAATACTAAATTACCCCGTTGCTGCAACTATTTGCTTTATGTTGTTAAATTTCATGTTGGTTTTTTCACTTCAGTATGTTCGTCCATATGCTGGCAATTTGTCTAAGGAAGCTTTCAATGCATTTATTGAACACTTAACTCGCTGTGCTGCACACTACAGAATTGCAACTGTGAAAGAAGCCATGAGGTAATATTAAAATTGTCGTCATTTGAGTTTTACATTTGTAATAATTTCCTTTCCTTGGAATGATAGATGTTATATTAATTTTTTTGTTGTCCAAACCTCCTAGAGGAAACAAATTAACCACATTTCTTCAATTTTCATGTTTTACCTTACAGACTTACTTTGAGGAACCTTTTCTTGAGCTGTGACATGAAGAATGTAAGTAACTCTGAAATAAAACCTCCTTTTCACTTACCTTCAGCAACAGTTTGTTGTCAAGATTTGTCTAACTTTTGTTTAATTGGAACACATGTTTATTTTAAGTTAACAAAAATCTTAACCCAAAGTCAAGTTATTTTATGATTTTATCACATTTTTTTCTTTTTCCCAAGTCTGGTCATGTGGACAGAAAGCGTATTTTGGATATCATGAGCTCATTTTACGATAATGCCGTTGAAGCTGTTAGGTCTTCTTTACAAAATCCAAGGAAATGTAAGTTCTAAGTATCCAAATTTCTGTTCTCCCTTATTTCCAATACAACACAGGCAAGTTGGTTTTAATCCAGGCTACAAACTGATAAATATGGAAAAATTATTAGTTGAATTTTCATGAATTCTAAGTAGTTACAGGTCGAAGAAAATTAGTGATGTAACAAACAGCAACTGTTACCTGTTACAGCTTAATTAGGAGAGCTCTATGAAACAGGTGCAATATACAGGATTTTTTCCATCCTCTTGCTCAAATAGCAAGGATTGTAGGAAGGATAGTTTGGGGAATTTACATTTCCATCTAGAAAGGAAAGTTCATAAGAGCCACTTTCAGCTTTTAAGTAGTTACTGGCTGCAGTGACTGCACAGAAGATACAATGGGAAAGAAGAAAGGACAAACATCAGTGCATTTTGTTTGGATTAAATTTAAACAAAAGGCACTGACAAATAATTGTGCAGGGAGGAATGCATTTGTGGCAACCCTTAGACTCAAATTTAAATTTACCGCTGGTTTATATGCAGTAATTGTAGAGGTGTTATCTGAAGATTTCTGATTGTGATTCAACCATTATCTGTTGTTTATCAGGGCCAGTTTTAGAAATAGAAGAAACCACAGATGAAGATGAAGATGAAGAGCTGAAGGGCAAACAAGACACTGGAACAGGAACAGATGATCAACCCAAAATACAAGTAGAACAAGCAGACCCTGAAGAAATCTTACCCAAGGACGATGCCAATGAACCAGAACAAGTGTCAGAGGAACCAAAAGAAGGAGAGAAAGAAAAGTTAGAAGAAACTCCTGCAGAAGAAGACACTGCCCAGAAACCAACAGAAGAAGATGAAAAACCTCAAGAGGCTGAGGAGGGAGAGGAGCAAACCATTGAAAAAGCTAAGGAACAAACTGGTGATGGAAATGGTGATGAACAGATAGAAGGTTTGCACATGCTCGTTAACAGTTCTTTTGTGAATTTCACTGCTTCCTTGCTGTCCCATTTTTGAATCTTCTATTATCCAGAACATTAAAGAGGCAATTTTGTTATTATGATTCATTCCAATAGAGTAGATGAAATAGTTGAGGATCTTATTGGAGTTTTCATCTACTGTTTTAAGGTGAGGAAGATGATAATCAAGACAAATTACAAGACAATGCTGTTGAAAAAGAGAACATAAAGGAAAAATTGTTAGATAACGAAGAAGAAGACAGAAAGCTGCTGGAATCAATCCCAGATGAAAGTATGTCTCATTTTATTTAAAATGCTCAATATTCTTACTACATAGAGGAGGATAATATTTAACACAGAAAAATGCTGTAAAACACAAGCATTGGTTGATATTGTTATTTCATTTGATTGTATGCTTGTGGCACCACTGAAAAAATTTTTGTTTACTTTTACCCAACACATCTTGTGGAGCTTTTTGCTGTTTGAACCTTTGGAGTGATTTTCAACTTAATGTTGAAAGTTATCCTGCTCTACTTTGCTCAGTGATTGGTTCAGAAAACTCCCACCACCCTCTCAAACAATCTGATGCAACAATTTTGTTACTCATGTGTTTCTGTGCCTCATGTAGTTTGGCTGTGATGTTTAGGCTTGCTGTGATTGGTTGTTGTATTGACTGTGTTTTTTTGTTTTATGACACTTAATCCAAAACTGTTGTCTTTTAAAATTTTCTACTACCAGGACTTTTTATTTTGCAATGGGCAGCCTTTAAGACCACTTATTAAAATATTATGCAAAGATCAAATTTTACTGAATTATTTTGATTATTAGTTGATGATCAGATGTCAGATCAGGAAGACACAGAAACATCAGCCAGCACACTACCAAGACCCAGGTCTGCTACTGAAGGATCAGCATTTGATGAAAACTCACTTAATCAGCCACAGTTTATACATTTGCTGGAAAAGTTTCTTGGAAATACCCCTATCAAGTAAGACTTAACCTGTAAATAGTATATAGATATTATAAATATAATAGGTAAAAGATACTATAAATTATTGCAGAGATGGCCCATATGGGATACGAACTTGAAGATAAAGAGTTATTTTTTGGAGATGCACAAACAACGACGTGCATCGAGAAATTTTCAGTTAAGTGTCAAAAGGAAATTGGGATTACACTGGCTCAAGATTGGCTTTACTTTCCAGTTGGTCTAGATAACCAGTGCCACTCTTGCAACCAATCAGAGGGAAACTTGATAAATTTACTCCTAATTTGGTATCTTTTGTTTTACCGCTATTCATGTAATCAGCGTGTTTTCACATTGAGTTCTCATTGGCTCTTTGCGACATGTTCCTTCGTTCTGATTGGTTGTTGTGATTACTTCGGATGTCGCCCTACGTCACTAAAAGTAACGTAGCGCACCAATCAGATGATGGCTACATCTGACAACAGCACGTTGTTACGTGTTTTTATTCCCGATGATGTAAAAATGATCAACCTTTTCAATTCAGCGTGTCGCCTTAGAAAACCTTCAGTGTCTCACCCTCACAACTTTAAAGCTCAGATTTACCAAACAAACTTGTAAACTTGTGAGTAGATCCATGCAAGATAACTATTAACTGTATCATTGTCTTTCTTTCAACAGGCAAGTGTTCGATGATCTCGTCCGGTTTGTAAGAGCCAGCTATGTGGAAACAGATGATGAAAGAATGGCAAGAATAAACAAGGTGTGTGATGGGCTTGATTCGGTTCCTTGTTGTGATTGTCTATTGTGACGAAGTATTGAGAACATCACGGGATGAATTGCGAGAGAACAGTTATTTTTCGTTTATAAAAGCGAACTCTAAATTTGATGGTAGTTGAAAACGTACTGCATGGTATTATGTGCAAGTTTTTAAGAAATCCTCAACAACTTTTTTGTGAGATTAAGTCTCTTGATATGATGTTGTTTCTCCCTTTTTTAACGGAAATGGTCATGAAGAGTTCAAATGCATTCGTTGAGTGAAATAGGAGGGGTTATACGAAGTATAGTGTAGGAGGGAATTGAAGTAGAACGAAACCCCCATTTTGTGACATTTCTGTTTGGGGAACATCTCCATTCAAGGAAAACGAAATTCGGTCCTGACGGCAAAGATTGTGACATGACTTTTTAGTCGCGAGTGTCTCCCTTGGATGGGACTTCTGCTGTCCACACTGACTGTAAAACGCGTCACGGACCGTGAAGCGGAACATTTCGATGTGTCATGAGCATATCACACGTGATGATTCACTTAGCTGATTAAATAGGTAATTTTCTTCTTATTAGGCTCGTTTAGAGGCACGTTCAGCTAAGAGGCGTCGGCAGGTGGATCAGCTTTATGAGTTGTGGGACGTGAACGCCTCTGGGTATCTGGAACTGGATGAAATTCAAGTTGTGTTGAACAAATGGCGCGTGGATGGAATTGACAACTTCAAGCAAGGTTTGTCCAGACATTTTTTCTTGTGGGGTGGCGGTAAAGTACCGGAGCGCTGAATGTGTACTTCTGAGGTTTGGAATCTTGGA